TACATACATACACGCACACAGGTCAGGCTCACGTGTGTTCAGCCTGACTTATTAAATTTACTCAGACACATTAAGGGTTAAAGATGTAACAAAAAATACATGAAATCAGAGGATATTTATTTATTTATTCATCAAATATTTGATTTTGTCATTGAAGCTGTTTTGACAAAAACAAGTAAATAGATTATCTGAAAAAACTCTCATCTTGTGAGAAAAGAGCCTGGAAGACTTTCAAATCAGGGAGTACAAAGTATAAAATAAATACCCACAATTATACATCATATTTTTTGTTGTTTTCATGGTAACATGATATGTTGCAGTAAAGTGCTGTCCCATTCCTATTTACACCCTTTCAAGCCCTCACAGTCTCTCACACTCAACCAGGTGACGTCAGTAAATCCTTGAGGGTTCAGGGTTTGAGGCTTTAGGGGGGACACTGGGATTGGGCCACACTATGATGAGGCTAGCGCTGTCCGAGGCAGGAAACTGTGACGCTACATACTCCGGTACGCTAGGTGGCGGTATAAACCTCATAGGCAACGGTTGACACCCGCTATTGAACGAAAAGAAGTAACGCATTCACAACATCCGGTTGTGAAGCCGCGTAAGATGGTAGTCTCAAGGTTGCCGTCTGCAGCGCTTTCTCTAAAACAGGTAAATACACACAACAACGGAAGGAGCACTGTACTTCATATCGCTAAGAGCTGGACTGGTTGTCACACTATAGGCCGTTTCACAGTTGTAATGCAATTCCGGTCGACAGCAACTCCTATGCTATCTTGCTAGCGACGTTAGCTTGTTGGCTAACCCTAGCGTTACGTCTGAAGAGAATTGCTAGCTGCAATCTTTTTGTCTATCTTTAATCGTTCATACAATTCAAGGAAGACTTTTGTCTGTTTTGCAACTCTTTTAGGTAGCTCTGTTAAAAAAAGCATTTACTGGCACCTAAGCTGCTACCACGGAGGTGGTATTAGCAAACAAATAACGCTACTACAGATAGTCAAAACATGCTCATAGGGAGACCTTTGCCTGCCCACATTTTTAAACTGTGCCTTTATGAATGTGTTAGTTCGGGTATATGATTATCTGGTAAATACATGAGTCCGGCTTTGATATGTCAATGGCACATGACAGCAACACACGTTCCTCCAGACTGTTTAGAGGGCTAGCTATTTTGTCAGGCTAACCCAGTGTTAGCATCTAAGTTAACTTCACCAGGCAGTCGACACTGTTTCCTCCAACGTTGAGTTCAGTCCTTGCATAATATCACATGGAAGTTCATTTCAACTAGTGCAAGAGTCTGTGCTACGACAAGGAACTGTTATATTGTGATATTCAGATTATTCTTGACTCTCAAAAGCCAGACGTTTCACAAAAATATGTGTTTTTAGCTGCTAACCTGTTGATTCTTTGACAGTTTTTACAGAGACAACGGGTTTTGGGAATTTACAGAAATATGATGAGGACCATACGGAAGGTACCAGACGAGGCAGACAGGAAGTACCTCAGTGACTGGGCAAGAGACGAGTTCAAGAGGAATAAGAATGCCACAGACAAGGTAAGAAGATATATAATATATAATATATAATGTGTTCCATTACATAGCGCCTAGAAACTGCCCTGCCTGTCTGTTGGATCGAGTGAAGAGCTGATGTCATGTTCAGAACAGGAGTTACGTTAATCAGGATATTATCTGAAAGTTGGACCTAAGTTTACATCCACACTTATACGTTTCAGTTTAAAACCGGGGTTATAAAACAAAAAACGATCTGCGTCCACACTGGCGTTTCAGCACCACTTTTGGAAGGATTTCCGTCCATACGAAAGCCTGAAAACGAATACTACATGACTATTCGTGTACACTGGACATGCGGGTGTCAGTGTAAACAGGAAGTATATTGGTTGCTTAGTTATAAAAAAATATAACAGAGTATTATAGTACTCTTTTAAAATGAAAGGTTATGCTTGATACTTAAGATCGTCCTCTATAATCTGCCTTTATAAACTCGGACACATTTCCAAAAAACATTTTTAAACTTAGTCACAACGCTGCAGGTCTTTCTCTATCCCTCTCAAACACACACATCAAATGTACTTTGAAATTAACACTTACAAATCAAAGTTTGCTAGATTACGGTTTCAGTATATTTGGTCAACACACGTCTCTCACTAATTTTCTTGATTTCGTTGTCTGCTGTCACACCCGTAGCTCTGCCGGCTGGCTGGAAGTCCCTGTCGTACTGGAGAGCATTTATGCTTTTGTTTCTTTGTGAACTTCACAGTAGTAGTGCAGAACAAAATAAGCATTAATAAGGAAAGTCCTCCGTTTTATGTCCATCGCCCTCCTCACATCCGCAAACCGTGACTTCAGACGTCCGCTACGTCGGGCTGATGATGCCGCTGGACACACTGCTTGCGAATCGCTCCAATAACTGCTCGCTTCCATCGCATGTCGGCATTATTAACATTATAAAAGGCAGAATTTAACTGCACAACAGCTGCTAGTACAGACAGCACAGTTAGCCACGCCTGTAATCCGTTATCCATATTGTATGAACCTCTAGTGATCAAGGCTGATGTAGTTTTTCTTCCTGCGGTGTGACGAAAGGACACGTCATGGCTGCTAAGAACCAATCAAGTAGGAAACGCGGGCGTCTACGTCATCGTTTTCAAAGGTCTACATTTCCGCCGTTCACACTACGGGGTAACCTCAGAGTTTCCAGACTTTAAAAGCTTTGGAAGCATTTCTAAACTATTTCCTTTTCGGTGCTCTAAAACTCTGTAGTGTGGACGCTCAGTGTAAACGTAGCAAAAGATGGATGTGGATGTAGCCTAAGATGCAGCCTTAAGTTACTTTCACCTGAAAAGTCTTAAAAGGGGAAGATTGTTGAAACTTGATTGTTTCTACATTATGAGAAGTTTAGGAATTAATCAAAAATGATGGAGAAAGTATTCATTTTGATACATATTGTTGCAATGGGTTATAATTTAGTGTATATTAATTCATGAACTTAAAAAAATAATCTGAACTCAAGGTCTGCTTACTTGCCTTTTCTGTAGCTTTTAACCACATCAAGCCTTTGTAGATGGAGTATGTGTAGAGACAGTACTTAGTTTCCCAGCATCCTCTGCTCTCTCCATCACTGCTGTTTTTCCTCTCATTGTTCCTTCAGGATGCCATCCGTATGATGATCACACAAGCTAACAACCATTTAGAGGAGCTGCAGACGTCTATGGCTTTGGCCGGCAGTTAAATACCGGGACCTGCTGTGGACGGTGGACTGATCTGGATCCGTACTCTGGAGACTCTAAGCGTGGACAGGGACACCTCTGATCAGAGTAGTCATTGTAAGGGACCGATGCGGAACGTATGGACACTCTGCTTTAGCTGGACGTCTTTTTAATGGATGGATTGATGGAACTCGCCCAAAGGCATCATCCTCTCCTTTCCTGTGCTGCTGTTCAGCATACAGTGGTGAGGATCATGATAATGGCAGCTCATTAATCTATTTTTGTGCTGTATATTATATATATTGTAAGTATTAAAGAGGAACTAATTAACATGAACTCAGAATTATCTCTTTTTTTAAATACAAACTGTTTTCTGGCATCATCATACAAGGTGCATTATTCATATCCACAGAGTTATCACCATGTATGAGCTTCACTACATCAAACGTACAGCAACACAACTCTGAAATTTCTTAATGGCCTCGGGCCCAAAGTTGATTGTACCGGTACCACCTGAGCAGGGAAGTTCTAGTTGATGAAATAGATAATATTGTTTTTATATGACAGACCTTTGAGTGGCAGCTTATTAGTGGTTATCACCTCTTAAAGAAATAGAAATTTGGACTACTGGCCACCCATAGATACTTGTAATAAGCTCCCAAGTAGTGTTTGAAGTAACTATTTTCTTATATATAATATATGCTC